TTTTAATGAATTCATTTTTGCATTAAAATTTGATAGAGCAACCATTTTAAGTAATAAATTTAAATGTAATTCTTCAACTTGTGCAAGACGATTAGTCCATACAACTGAACATATTTTACGTAAAGTTGTAAGTAATTCAAATATTGAATTTGTTGACTAAGAATTTTATTTAAAATAAATATTAAAAAAAAGGAACAATTAAATCTAACAAACTTTTGCTTTAAAATCTTCTTCTTTTAAATTTTTAACATAGTCTAATGCTTGTTCAATATGTTCACTAAATAATTGTCGATATTTATCAACGAATATATAATCCATACAATTAACAAATGGTGAGAGTAATGCATTGTATTCCTATGATTATCAATTGATTTGATTAAAAGAAAAAAACGGAACAATAAGAAAAAGAATTTTAATTCTTACAAGAGCTGTTAATGGTTGTTCATTTTTAAATTGTCCTTTTAAATTTTGTATACCATCTTTTAAAACAAAACGATTTATTATTTCACATAACCAACCATATGGTTCATTTCGATTATAAACAGAAAATGTTGATGATGATGAATTAGCCAATATACGTTCACCTAATTGTTTATCATAAAGTGTACGATCATATGATTTACTTTTATGTTTGCGTTGAAAAACTGAATCATGATCAAAAAGTATAGCTAAGGTTTCAAGTAATTGTATAGGGACTGGAGAATAAGATAGACGTGCAGCAATTAAATCAATTAATAATTGTACCATATCGAATACACCTAATTGAACTTCAACACCCCAATTATTAACATGATGAGAACATTGTAACTAAAATATTAAAAAAAAAAAAAAAAAAATTCAAAAGAAAGATTTTTTTTGTTTAAATACTTTTCGAAATGCATCAGGGATTAAAATTTCCATAAATTTTTTACAGTGTTCATCTTGATCAGCGATACCTATAAATATTATAAATCAAAAAAAAAAAGAGTAAACAAGATTTTATAGAAATTATTCAATTAACCAGCAAGTGCAAGTCTAGTAGCGGATAAAAGACATCGGCCGAGAACTTCTTCGCCTAAATAAAGAAACGAAAAAAAATTTTATTGGAAATATTCATTTGAATTAAATTTACGTTTATAAGGAATTGACCAATTATCTCCATAGACTTTTGTTTCAAGATCAAGAAAAGCAGTAGTTGTAAATGAATTTGAATTACTCATTGATAAATCATCGGATGATATATTTGAATTATTATTATCCAAGGGAATCTTGAAAAAAAAATTATATTTTAACACAAAATAAAATAAATTCTTCATCTTACAATTTGTTGTGGTTGTTGCTGTTGTTGTTCCATTTGTTCTTTTGTGAGGGGACCAATAAATGTTGATATTGTTCTTGTGTCATTTGGTATAATAGCATCATCATTAAAAAACGTTGAACCCGTAAGATATGTAACAGCTTCGGCAATATCATTTCCAACTTTAGTCAATACTTTACGATTTAATTCTCGATCAGTAAAGCCCATATTTATTAATGTTTCCATATTTTCTTCCATATTTAATAAATCAGTTGATGTTGATGATGAAACCAATGAACACGAAATATTATCAATTGTTGATGAAGATGCAGTCAATGAATTACTTTTAAAAAGAAAATATTCTAAAGAAATAGAAATAGAAATTAATTTCTACCTTGCAACACAACTTTTATTATCTTTTTCAATGCAACAACGTTTAGAAGAATTATTATTATTATTATTAGTTTCGTTTAAAGAGGAATTTGCCGTGTGAGCATTGCGTTTCATCACAGCAGTGAATTAACAATCGATGAGTCATAGATAGAAAATCCATCTAGAATATAAAAGAATATTCATGAGGTAAAATACACAGAAAAAAAAATTATACATGATTATTTACCAAAAAAGAAACAACGTCCACATCATACCAATAATCAAAATATGTATGTAAAAACGCACGTGACAATAGGAAACACACAATAATATCTTGCTCGTTCTGTGTTCTTTTTTATGGATTTTCTTTCTTTTTCTTGAAAATATTCTTTGTTGAGCAATAATAAAATTAATATATGAATAATTGTGAATAACTGATAGAACTTATAAAGTAAATAAATCTGAAATACGAAAAAAAACCCAAAGAATGATTTTATAATCATTAATGCACTCATCTAAAAAAATATTGATCGATTTTTATTGGCTCAATTATTAACCAATTATATTTGAATTTTATGTATTTATATAAATAAATAATTCATGGATGATTGGAATTTTTTGTGACTTTTTTATTCGTTCTTTTCAGCAAGATTGTTGATTCAAAGACTATAGCAATTCGCTTAAGAACTCCGCAAAATGCACATTAATACATATATACGTACTCCTACTCGATTGATAAAAAGGGTAGTAAAGTTGTTTTATTTCATCGCTTTTTTTTTTTTATTTCTTCTGCAGACATTCGAAACCTTTAATCGACAACAGAAAAAAAAAGAGAAAAAATCGAGGCACTTCAATGAAAATGATGATATGAACGATAATAGTGTTAAAAAAAAAATTTTAAAAGTCATTTTTTGATTGTTTGTGTCTTTTTAGCGTACTATAAATATATCGATTCTATAGGAGCGTTAGGTACGTCTTTTTTCTCTCGTGTATATGTCGAGTGTGTAATTCGATCGTTTATTGTGTGTATATACGACATAGACACGCACACACACACAAACTTATGTAACAGTACCAGTAAAACGCTGATGGTTCACTGTGAGTAAGCATCGAGATGTTCTCATCGATCAATGTGAGTGACATGCAACTAATCAAATTGAATGTTTCTTTTTTTTTTTTTCTTCATCTCGTCAACTATCATCACTAGTATGTCATTAACTTGCGTGCGTTCATATGTAGATTTTGTCTTCATCATCATTCGGACGAGTTGTTTGCAAAGTGACCACTTGAATTAGTTTTAGTTTCGAATCTAATGCTGAAGGACTTTTTTTTTCATGACATTGTATTGAATGAACATGATTCCGTTCGATAGAGAATTAATTAAATAATATACAAACGCAAACAATTAAATTTAGATCTACTTGAAAAAAGTTGAAACTTTGAATAATAATAATAAAAAAAAGCGAGATATTCTGTTGATTCGAACTAATATCTCTTGAATAAAAATGAAAAGGGCAAACATGAGTATTTCGTTAGATGAATATGGACAATTGATAATAGTGTCATATCTAACATAGACTCGTCAAGTTAGTTAAGAACTTATTGCCGTTCTCATGTTATATGACAATATCCTTTTTTTTTTGTATGTTTTATGCTTTATGATTTCCTTTTTTTTTCTTCTTTTTGTTGTTTTTCTTATAAAGTATGAATGAACGTGCTTTAAACAGTCGGTATATGCATCGTTTGGTTGACTCATTTCATTATCCAAATTCATCTATCAACCGTGTGTGCACGATTTTTTCATCTTGTTCTTTTGTCTGTCGTTCTTTCTTTGTGTGCGTGTGTGTGTACATTTCAACATACTGAGAAATGGCAGCAAATGCACATCGATGCAGCGACAACAAATAAAAAAAAAAGAGAGAGACAGAGAGAGAGAGACAAAAGAATCAACGCTATCCATCCATCCATCCATCCATCCATTCACTCATTGCTTGTTCGCTTGTCTTAATAGCATATGAATGATCGTGGTCATCCTTTTTTTTTTCAAGTAGAATAGATATGAGAAAAAGAAAAAAAAAAATCGTCGAAGAAGATGTACTTATGGCATCTGCGTTTGATATGAGTGTGCTTGTATAGTTGTTTGCGTTCTATAACAGTACCATGCTAAGAATAAGAGAAAAATAATAGTATCATGATATCGTGGAAAAAAACAGTACGTTCGTCATCGTGTTGTGTATGTACAAATTGTGAGGAGCTATTCTCAGATCATTATCTATACTGTTCTTATATGTTTATCTATCGTTTCTGTTAATTTGGGGTGTAGCAGAAAAAAAAACATCAGGAATAAATATCTAATCTAATATGCTGATGGTCAATATGTATTTTCTGACATTCATAGGTATGTGATCGTACGCGTTTTTTTTTTTGCTTGCAAAATTTTTCATTTTTTTTTCTTTTTCTCGAGGCATTAAGTGTATAATAATGTTCGCTCTTGCCTATTAGATCCACGGATATTATTATTATTTTTGGCACTTTTTCTCATACGCATACATGCACATAATCGTGTTATCGTATCAGTCATCATTCTTGCAAATTTATACTCTCTCTCTCTTCTGCTCTTACAAGTCGACCGTATGTATGTCATTGACACTCACTGTTGTGCAATATGAACGGTCAGCAGTTCGTCATCATCATCGTCTTCCTCTTATTACTCCTACTGTTCTTACAAACAAATATATATATATACGGGTAACACAAACGAACAGTAAAAAATATACTATTCATTGTGTATAAAATCGGGAAGCGTGCGCGGTCTGTAATCGACGGCACCAATTACTAATAGTTGAGCGTGAGCGGATCGTTAAGTGTCGTATGTAACCCGACGGGTTTTTCTTTTCTCTCGCATACATGATCAAAATGCAAACCGATTAGAATGATGATCATAGAGCACATATAAAAAAGAGAAAACGATTTTATTCCCTTTCTCTTATATTTTTTTCTATTCCCAAGGTTGATAGCAGACGTTTTTTCTTTTTTTTTTCTTGCTTTAGATAATTAGTTTCATTTCATCTTTCCTGCTTTTACTATATATATATAATAATAATAGATTATTATTACTTACTACCTGTTTCAAAATTTATAGACTGATGATAATAGTAGAGGATCTTCTTTTTCCTTTTTTTTTCTTCTTCTTCTTCTTCTTCTTCTATCATTCATATAATCAATCTTTTCTTTTGAACAAATACTCTTCAATCTTCTCCACCCATTTTCTAAGCACAAACACACATCCATCATCTATCTATATTTACATTTTCATAGAAATCACAATTTGATTCCATTTGTTAGATGAACTATGCATAATGATCTGATGTTATTCTATTCTTTTTATTTTTTTGTCATATTATTAATATTATTAACTTATGGTCAACAAACAATAATCTATGTTAAACGTGGTGATACTATTGAATTATGTGACAATCGTACAACATTTATTTATGCTTATGAATATCGTAGTTTTGATGGTAAAAAAAATTTAATTCTTGAACCAACAAGACATGAACGTTATTCAAATCCATATCGAACAAGTTTATTACGAATAACTAATGTTATTGAAAGTGATAGTGGTCAATATAAATGTCCACAAGATGATATTGAATGGCAAAAACTTCAAGTATATGGTAAGTTCAAAGATAAAAAAGAAAACATAATGCTAAAAGATATCTTATTATCAATGATGTAATCATATTGTATTTTTATTTATGCATGAAAATGTCTTTATTTGACATATAAATTCTATCATTAATCCATAACATATCATATTCTATTAAGAGAATTTTCTTCATAGATTTTTTCATGTTTTTTTTTTTCTTTTTTTATTATTATATACATGATTTATTCTCAATCGAGCAATTGTACTCTATAATGATAGATAGTTTGAACAAGATAAACTACTTTTGTAGGTTGTCGAAGAAAAAGAAAGAAACGTCCACTAATGATTAATGGAATCACACACACACACACTTCAAATTTCTTTTTATTCATACACTATATATAATTGAAACATAATAGAATGAAGCCTTCTTTTTTTTTGTTTATTGTCTCTAGTACCCGTTCAACACGTATACTTGACCAATCTGCATACATCATCTCATGTGCATAGTAATGAATTTTGTGGAATTGAAAATAATAATTGTTTAGCTATGGTTGAGGGTGAATCATTGGATGTTGGTTGTGCTGCTGATGGTTCTCCTCGTCCTGCAGTAGATATATCATTAGATAAAAATGGTACAATACCTACAATTATGGCATTAGCAAATGGTATTCAAACACCATCAATTGTTAATGATCAATTTAAACCAAGTGTTTATGAAGCCTATCGTATTATTGGTTTAACAGCATTAGACAATGGACGTAATATAACATGTCAAGTTGATATGAAACAAATTGATAAAAAACTTATTTTATCAACAACAAAACAACTTTATATTGAATGTATGTATAAAGTTTGATTTTAATTAGTAAAAAAAAAAAAAGTAACTAAACATTATATATAAATCATTATTTATTCATTAGATTTTGAATAAATAGAATTTTATTATTAATTAAAATCTATCCAACAGTGGATAAAAAATTTCGGCCAATGTATGGACCGAAGGTTTGAAAAATTTGTGTATACACACTTCACTAAGCATGTAGATTGTTGACATTGCGGTGCTATTATTGCTTAATTACAAAGAGAGTTATGATGAATGGCACCTTTTTTTTTTTTGTTGTTGCTCTAAGCATTATAACCTACAAATAACTGCCTACAGAATTTTGTGCTGTTTCTTATTAAAAAGATAATTACTTCCTAATTTTTTTACATCTACAGTCTTTTTTTTATTCAAAAGATAAGTTCATTTACTCGAATATTGATATTTCTAGCTTCAAAGAATAATAGATGGTTTCTTTCCACAACAATGAACATAGTCTTTGAAAGAATTGATAAATTTCAATAAAATTAGTAATATAGATAACTGACATATAGCATTACATATTGAGAAGTTGTCTAACATAGAATTCTGTTCTTTTCCATCGTTATAAGACTGACAACAAAAAAAAATATGTGCCATCGATCATAACTCTTTATGTAATTGAAGCAAGAATACCGTCGCAATGTTAATGACCAAACATTCTTGACAAAACATGTGTCCAAAAATTTTCAGATGTTCAGTACATACAGTAGCCAAGATTGACTAGAACAGAGACTTTTGTATATATATATATTCTATCCTATCCTTTATCTAGTTCGTCCAAATGTTGCTGAAAAATCAAAAAAAATCTATTGTGGAATTAATCAAACTCGTACAGTTAATTGTACTGTTATACGTGCTAATCCACCATATATACGTTATTCAATTAATGGTTTATCACCATCAGTTATACGTCGAACATATGGTGATCAACATGATTTTTTATATACATTTGATATAACACCAACATCAATTGAACATTTTCGTTCATTTAATGTAACAGCAAATAATAGTATTGGTTTTGATACATGTACTTATGAACTTATTCATGGAGGTAAAATAAAAAAATATAATTGACCTTCATTTGATAAGAAGAAATAACAGAACAACTGTTCAATATAACTATGTTATAGCACGTTTCTAATATATATTCTATAATATAAATATTAATCAAATTTTAAAAAGGTTGATTTCGTAATATGTAATCAATATACGTTCTTTTTTTTCTATTCCTGCTTCAAGGGAAAAAATGTCTATTTTTATACAGAAGCATACAAACGGATGACTATCATCTGCTTCCGTTATTATCGATAAGAGTACCTATAAATTCTAGTATTTAATTGATTCCTAGCCATAAGCAAAATCGATCATTGTTAGTATTGATCCACATTCATGGAATTAGTCTAAATTTTTCTAGTAGAAAAATTCAAAGTATTTTATATGTAATGATCATAATATAAATGAATTCATAAAATATTTGATATTCTCTAATCACTTTTTCTTTTTTTTATTTAATCTCATTTTTGACCTAATTATGTATACTAAATTTCTCTAAATAATAACTATTTAACATTCTATTCTTAACAATGGAATGTCATAGATAGTATCAATGACCTTCTTTGTTTTCTTTTCAGAACAGCCACTAGTCATTAATTATATTGTCATATAGTAATTATCTTTGCCTCTTAATATAATAATAGATAAGACATTCTAGAATAGAATGAATATGAAATTTTATTTTTGCAAAAAATTTTAAATTTCTTTTAAAAATTAATCGATTCATTTTATTCTCTCATTAGGTGTACCAGATGCAATAACACATTGTACTACAGATACATATACTTCTAATGTAACAATAACAATAAGTTGTACAAAAAGTTATGCACAAGGTGATAATGATGGTTATGCTTGTACATTATTTAAATATAATGATAAACCAAATAAAAAAATGTTTGAAGAAATAGCTCGAACAAAATCTTGTATATTTGCATTGGAAAATTTTCATGAACCAGTTGAATTTCGTGTTGCTGCTTTTAATCGTTATGGATCATTACCACCTAATACGTATGGTTATGTAATTCGATTAAATGAACCTATATGTAAATAATCAAAAAAAAAGAAAATGTAAACACTATAAAAAAATTTTTTTTTTCTTATTTTTATTTTAGTACAAAGAGAAACACCATTTGTTAATAAGAGAATTATTATTATTGTAGGAGGTATATTTGGTGGTACATTATTATTATTTTTTCTTTGTTGCCTTTGTGGAGCATGCAATCGTGATCAAGCCAAACTTATGAATAAAGCTGATTATTATCATAGAACTAGTAAGTTCATTTTTTAGTCTTTTAAATTCTTCTTTTTTTGCAATAGAAAATTGAAAATAATCATTTTTTATCGATTGATTTTTTAAAATATTTTCACTGACGATGGAAGAAAATTCATTTTTTCATGAGAAATCAAATTCCAATTGTATTCTATTACATCGTCGGTGTATGTTTATTATCTCGACTTTCAGATAAAAAAAAAAGAAATCTTTTGTAGCTAAGACAATAGAAAATTTTCGCATGATTTATGCATGTTTAGTCTATGGGTTATTTTTTATTTTACATTCTTCAATAGATAATGAATTCTTTTCTTGATGATAAAGAAAAAATAACCTATCTATTTATATATATATATATATTGTTATAGAATATCCCCACTCGTCGACCGAGAGCGAAGCATTAAAATCAAGAAATGGTAAGAGATCATGTAGAAAATAATAGTGACCCCATTTGCTAATATTTATTAATTAACTCTATGATTATATTATTGATAAATTTTTAACTAAAAAAATTTTTATATAATATTATTTTAGACGAAACAATTTCACATTTGGTTCCTAATGGAAATGATAAACGTCCTCATCAGGTTAGTTTAATATATTTAAATAAAATTCATATAAACAATCCTGTCAGATAAGATAACTATTTTTCATTTAAAAAACCACGTATACTATTTTGTAGAACAATTCGTCACGCATCGAATGATATATAGGACATTATTTTTTCATCAAGTTTTTATGTTCTAAGAAGCCATATGATATTATAATAATTGTAGATGATATGAACAAATATTATGACTTAGTATGTCTCGAAATCAATCTATATCAAATTTTGTTATAAAAGTTATTTCAATAGAGTTTTGTCTCGTCTTCAAATTAGCTTCTGTAATTTTTGATGTTTTAAATTCTTCGATACTGTTTCTGAGAGTACAGACGACCAATCCTGCAACTTTTTTCAGAACAAGTTCTATAGATATACCAATTAGTTGTCCTTTGATAAATATTTTTTTTTGAGTGAAAAAGTTTCTATTTATTAATAATAAGTTTATCATGACCTACTATATAGATCTTTCAAAAAAGCTAAAAAAACATTTTCCGCTTCAGAGTTCTGGAGGCAGGTATAGAAATAGACTATTACAAAGATTAATTTTCATCTTATTTTGTTCCTTATGAATTTAGACTCTGAATAACCGGGTGTGATTAGTGTACGGAGTTCTATTAAATTCAATATATACTATAGAAGAATTTAAAACATCAGAGAAACTAATAATTACACAACCTGATAAAAACGCTAACGTTTTCGATACAAAGAAAGCTATTGTGAGTGTTATTATATATATACGGTTGAATACGAGATGAAATTCTATGAAGTAATTTTAAACAAAATTTGACATGGATTGATTTGAAGACATACTGACGAGGGAAGGCCACCAACTGTCTCCTCGCTTTTGAGCTGAAACTCA